TTGGGGCAAGGGTGGTGGCTGGGGAACCAACAGAGTAATCAGACCCAACCCCCTCGGGATCAGAGGGGAGATTAAGGCCAGAGAAGGCAAAGGGATTTGCATGAAGCTGAGTAATAGCCCCAGAGACCAAGTCCAGGTTGCCTGGCTCTGGCTCAGTTCTGGAGATGTTTGAGCTCTTGGGCCTGGGAACAGCACACACCTCTGCTGGAAGTGGGGAGAAGAGAAGCAGAGTTGGCAGAGGGAATCAGACTAGCTGACTGCCTACAGGAGACGGCCCAGGGGTCCCAGCCCATGACCAGGCCCCAAGGGCTTCTAAAAACACCCTGCTATCCCACCCCTGCCTCCACCCTCAACCAGCTTAGGACCCAGTGTCTCCATTTTGTCTTCATTCCTAGCAGCCGGCAGTGAAGAGGCCGAAGAGGGGGCTGAGAGCAGCCAGGAGCCCGTGTCGCATACACTGTCAGACCCCAAGGTGGACATCCCACGTGACTCTGGCTGCTTTGAGGGCTCAGAGAGTGGGCGTGATGAGGCAGACCTGGCAGGCACAGAGGAGCAGCTGCAGGGTCTCTCCCTGGCCGGGGCACCTTGAAGGGAAGGAAGATGGCAAAGGCCAAGGCTGAGCCCTAGCTGGAGAAATTGCAGGGATGGGTGTGGCCTCCCAGAATGGCTCAGGACCAGAGAGAGGACTGGTGCAGAATCTGGCCCTGGCTCACCAGGGAGGCTTCTGGATGAAGGCCCTGCCAGGTTGCTACAGGCTCAGATAGAGTGGATAAGGGACTGCCCAAAGGCATAGCCCACCTTCTGGACCCTCTCCTCCACCAGTGACTGCCAGCATGGCTCCTTCTGGCGCCTTCCATTCTCTCTCTATGGCCATGCAAGTGGGGCACCAAGGGACCTAGCCATGCCCTATGACCAAGGCCCCCCAAACCTTCTTACCCTCACACCACTGCCACACTGCTTCTAAGAAGAACACCAAACCACTGTTTCAAACCTGCCTCAGAGCCCTGGGGAAGCTGGCTGTTTCAAAGGACCTCAGTTGGCTATGGGTAAATCCAGAATTCCTTAAAAGAGGTTTTAAGGAAGCTACACATACTATTCCTATCCTTCTCAGTGTTTTAGAGGTCTGATCACTAAGTCACAGTGAGACTTGAAGATTCAAATGGGCAATTTTGAAGACCCCACCGGCTGACATTCTATATCTTTAAATATTTGTTCTCCAACTGCCTGCCATCCAGGACACCAGTGGGCTTCTTGGGGAGGCTGGAGGGGTCTTTCCAATTTCAGGCTTCCCAATGAAAGAGTTCGTCCTTCTCATCTATGTCATACCTTCCCACCTGACTCAAACTGAACAGTATCTTCTCCCAGCTTAAAACAATGCCTGTATCTCATATAAGTGTCCACTTCAAAGGAGATTTCCCACAGGCTGGTTGAATAACACAACTGCCTCTGTGCAAGCCAGATGCAGGGATGGGCCCAGATTTGGTCGTTTGTGTAGATCTTCACATTGGAGGCTCCACTCAACCTACCATTGCTCTGCTAAAGGTTTTAGCACCCTACCTCCAAAGGGTGGGGAGATCTTCGCATCTATTACTTGACTTCAGTAGCAAGAGCAGCTCTTCCAGACGCATGGTCAACTGTGCCCATCACAGGTAGGACTGCCTGCTCAGTAAGTTGGCATGCTTCTGATCTACTACCAGGAACTTTTGCAAAATCTAGTTTGGGTGAAGCAGTTGAATTATTGTAAATAGGGGGTATTGGGGAAAGGTGTTAGTAACAATAAATAGAAATAGAACTTAATCACAGTCTCCCGTTTCCTTTCCTATGAACGGAGGGTTTGGGGAGGGACAGAAAGGTCCTTAAAGCTGATCTTGGCAAAATATCCATTCGTTGTCCCTTCAGGGCCATCTTTCCTCTTCCTGAGGATGCAAGAAACCTTGACTCTGCTAACCTAATTCTCCATCTAAAGCTCCAGCTGGTTCCATCCTTCCCTGCAAACATCCCTACTGAGAATGGGGCTCAGATGCCCATATCCACAGGCCCTGCTGATCCTCAAATGCCTAGGAGAGGCTGGATTTCAAGGGTCAATTGAGGGTGCCAACAATCCCAGCACTCGGGTGGCAGAGACAGGTGGATCTTTGTGAGTTCGAGGCCAGCCTGGTCTACAGAGGGAGTTCCAGGACAACCTCCAAAGCTACACAGAGAAACCCTCTCTCGAAAAACCAAAACAAAGAAACAAAAAGAACAATTGAGGCTGGTGATGGAAATAAGGTCCTTCTAAGGAGTCTAGGGCAGCTCGGGCAGCCCTGAGGTCTGTCCACTTTGTAGAGTATCAGCCCCAGGCACAGACTCCTGCCTGCTACATGCTAGATGAACGGGTTCAAGTCTTGTCAGCTACTGTATAATTCAAGGTGACAGGCACATTTTCCTTCTTTCCATCAGAGAAGCAGCTCCTGGCATTGGCACATACCAGCTCTGCCGCCTCTCTTCTCACTATAGACTCCATATCTCATGAACACTACCTAAGAGCACTCTAGGCAGGTTCTGACCCGCTCACCACAGACCTCACCATGCTCTTTTCCACCTGCCCACAATGCCTTTCGCAGTGTGGCCCAACATCTGGCAGAGGCCCTAGTCCCTGCTGGTAACCCTTTCAACTTCTCACTCACTCTCTGAACTTCCCACCCAGACTTTACACAGTAGTGGAGACTGTATTTGGACCACAGGGCCCAAGGACATCGAAATATAAGTCATGGCGAAAAAGCACACTGATAGATCTATAGTCCCATAGTCCCAGCAGAGTCCACACCCCCACCCCCATTCAGGAAATTCAGGATGAGGTATGAGGTTTCCAAGCTGGGAAAAAAGTGGTTCTCCCAGCTCTCTCTCACAATAGAACCTACCTTCACTTCTCACACAACAGTGGCCACGTTACATTATTATTTTGCCGAGAACACAATCAAGTGGGAAGGAACTGGCTCCCCTCTACACTCAGCCAAGACTCCTCCTCCAGGAAGTACTTAAAGAAATGGAATTCTATAGTACTTGATATGCAGGCTTCACCTTTTCCTATAACTTCACAGTGACCAATATAGCATTTGTATACCCTTACCTCTGGGACCTGCTTGGGATAGCGTCAGAAAGCAAGAATCGGCCCAAGGCAATGGCCCTCACAAAGACGCAGCCAACTCGATTGTGGGAACTGGCAAGGCAATTTCCTGACTTTCAATACTAAAGAAACCTCACTACCAGTTCAACCTAAGTGCAGGGGTCTGGAGAAAGATTGAAGAGATTTAACTTTTAAACAAAAAACTCCGTAACCAACAACTTGTCAACCTGGCCCCTAAAATGGAAAAAGCATCAATCCTGTAAACTCCAAATGACAAATAACCATAAAAAATCATTGCCATGTGTCAATATGCTTAAGAGAGAATGATGTCAGCAATGCAGTTTCTCCTGTTAACCCTAGAACAGTGCTTCTCAACCTTCCTGATGCTACAGCCCTTTAATACCGTTCCTCATGGGTAGTGACCCCCAACCATAACATCAATTTTGTTGCTACTTCAGAACTGTAATTTTGCTACTGTTATGAATCATAATATAAATATCTGATATGCAGGGTATCTGATATGTGATCCCCGTGACAGAGGGATTGCGACCCACAGGTTAAGAACCACTGCCCTAACACATACCACGGAATACTCACAATTTATTGACTATGAAACAAATCAAAGGCTTATTTCATTCCAGTGCCATCTGTTGTAATCCAAACTCCTTCTGCTTATACTCACTTAACATAGAGGGAGTGGGTTATACTACAAAACTTTCTGAATTTTGAAATTAGTGCATCTTCCTTTTGGTCTTGGCTCTACTGGTAACTCTTTATGGAACTTTGCATAAGTCTTTCTACTTAATTTGAAGAAAGATCATGAATTTGAGAGCGCAAGCAAGCAGCATGGCCCATGTCATTAATAGGTTCCTTTCAGCTATGTTGTTCAACAGAGGTTGCATTTTATGACAAATAATCGTCACATGTCTTATTTGGACACAAAACTCTATCTCCTTCATCCAGGTTGGAATAGACAAATAACTACTGATAGACAGACAAACAGATGGGCAGTAGCTCACAGAGAAGACTGGGAAGATGGGCTTCAAACAGTGAGGGGCTAGATTAAAAGTACATACTGTTTTTATAGAGGACCTGAGTTCAGTTCCCAGCACTCACGTTGGGTGGCTCACAACTCTCTATAGCTCCAAATCCAAGAGATCTGACACCCTCTTCTGACCTCTGCAGGCATTGTATACCTATGATATATACTCACAAGCAAACATACACATATATGCATAATTAAAATAGAAAGATAAGTATTAAAAAAGAAAGGAAAGAAACATGAAATGTCAAGGAGGTAACTCTAACCTGTGTTCTGGAATTGTAATGCCATTTCTAAAACAAGGGTCCTCTCATTTCCAGACCTATGAGGGAGTGTGAGCCCTAAGCTCTGATTTATTGATTTATGAGAAAATGACCTGGTACCAAAAGTACATGGACCATGGACAGATAATTCACAGAAGAAATACAAATGTCCATAAATATAGATGAAAAGTACAGAAAATGTCTGATCTCACTATTAACCAAGCAAATATAAAAGTACATGACACTGAAATTTATACTATCAAATTATTGCACTTAATGTTTGAATGATTGGTTGAAGCAAGCTTTCTGATACACTGCTGGCAGAACTATGACACCCTTTCCATGTAACAATTTGGCCAAGGGCTTGTAAAAGAGCATTCTCTGTGACTCAATAGTTCTGCTTCTAAAAATATATGGGCATATCTGTAATTACAGCCTTATATATTTCTAGAAACAGAACTCTCGAGGCACATCATTCAAATATTCAGTGCACTGTATTGTGGAATATTGACACACAAAAGTCTGGACAGGCTTAGTACAGATGCAGGTTGTTTTTGTTCTGAGATAGAGTCTCACTGTGTAGCCCTAGTTGGCCTAGAAGTCACTCCGTAGACCAGGCTGGCCTCCAATTCGCAGACATTCACCTGCTTCTGCCTCCCACATGCCGAAGTTGAAGATGTGCACCACCACACCAGGCACAGAATATCTTAAACCGAAGGTTAGTTTAGTCTGTGAATACGGAACTCAAGAAAAAAGAGCCTACTGTACTAGTTGTACTATAAAGGGAAACACTAAAAGAAAGCAATCTATAAGATAATGCATTTTAATAGAAATGCGTGGGAATGTTGATGCTAAGATATATAATAAAGTACAAGATAGAGCCTACTGTCTGTAGATCACTGTTGAATGCAATATGAGCATAGACTCACACAGGTAGGTTGTGATGGCAACTTCAATACCCAAGAATGGCACTACAGTCAAGAATATCTCATAGTAGGTTTCCAAACAAAGTATAATACTACCTTTCCACAATCTACATAGTTGTTGCATTCCTGGAAACCCCGAGTATACTCATATTATAAGATCATTTTGTATTTATTTATGAAATTATTAGGACTGCTGATTATACCATTTCTACTTGTCTTCATGTTCTATAGGACATCTGACTGTTCTTAAGATGTATGTGTATACTTCTTATTCCCCTGTCATATTTACCTAAAACATGCAACTCACCAACACTCTTTCTTGTGTGTTGGGCTTGAATCCTTTAAAATCAATGATATTCAGAGTTTGAGTCTTTGAGGCTATTTTTAAAACCTATCGCCTAAGAACAGCAAGAGATTCCTAGAATGTATTCTCAAAAGTAACACAAATGCCTTTTGAATTACTGGGAATGTGATTCTTCTTTAGTAGCACCATAAGAAAAAAATTATTATCTTTCAGGAAAAAAAGCTATTTACTATGATCTCTTGGTGATTTTCTCTAGCCTGGCCCTGGTCTCGGGAGTATAAAATGAACTGAGTTGGAAGAAAGAACTAACAGGGCCAGGCTACAGGGACTGAGAAGGAGGCTAAGTTGCTAGGTTACCACCTGTGCCAATCTAAGTGGTCCCAGAGGGGTACCAGATTCAGGACAGCTCTCTCTGTCTCTCTGTCTCTGTCTCTCTTGCCCATTAAGTTGAGGACCCTCTGAAAGGAAAGGGGAGGTTTCAAAGGTGGTGGAGGGGCCCCATCACTCATACTAGGCACAAGTAAAGAAATGAGGCAGAAGCACAAAGAAACACACAGCCCTATATTTCTAAAACCATTCAAGTCTCCTTCATTAATTGGCTTCCCCCCAAAAGAAAGATTTCTTTATTAAGAAATACCAGAGAGTGAAAAACCCCAACACATACACATTTGTAGGCTCACACAAAAAGTGCAGAGATTTACATATTAAATTGCATTTAAGTTAGAAAATAGATTTAAAAACAAAATATTTCCCCCAAACAAGGTAAATAGATTTGGTCAGTAGGAAAAGGGGCCTTAGGGCTAAGCGCAGGATGGTCAGGATGGGCATAATGGAATTTAGCTGCTATAGAATTAGAACCCACCTCTAATCCAACCCCACTCCTCGGGGAAAAGGAGCAATAATGATCTCAGCTAGGGCCAAGCGGGCCCCAGAGCCAAAAGGACATCAATTTCCCCTTCCCTCAGAGGTTTTTGGTTCAATGCCAACCATCCTGGCCTGGGGAAGTAGGGTGGGTGCATAGGAAGTGTGAGGAATGGAGAGGAAGGGGAGAGTTGGAGAGAGTGTCAGCCATTGAAATCATCAAACAATATAAGGCCTCTTTCCCCAGAGAAAGATCAAGTGTTCAATCTCTCCTCTGATCAGAGCTCAGACAAGGGACAGTCCCAGCTGGTATATGTATGGTATGAATGGGACAGGTGTTCAGGCCAAGGTCTTAAATACACAAGATTTATATAACAAAAGAGAGAGAGACAGAGAGAAAGAGGGCAAGGAGTGTGAGGAAGCAGATTTAAACAAACAAACAAACAAACAACAAAACAAACAAAAACATTTTGCCCTGGAGACAAAAGATTTCCATTTTGATCCTTCCCACCAGAAACAGAAAGCTCTTCTGACCCACCTAAGGGGCAGCAGAAGAGGAGCTGAGGTAACTTGAGGGAGGAAAGAAACCCACTCTGGCCCGAGAGTGGAGATGGGCTGAGTATTGACTGGAAAGAGAGTCCCATAGGGGACAGGTTGATTGAAAAAAACAATAACAACAACAACAACAACAAAAAAAACCAAGGAGCTTCCACACTCTCCATGATTGCCCTAATTTTGAACTGACTGAAACCAAACTATAAGAACAAAACTGAGAGAGCCATTTTTTAAAAAGTGGGAAAGGAGAAGCAGAGAGGAGAGGAATCTAAGTCAAGCTCTCTCCCAATGACTCTCTCCCTCAGGGATATTTAAATTCAAACCCTGCAACAACCAAAACGGAAAGGTACAGAGAAAGCTGGGAGCAGCCAAATTTCACTAATTACAATTAACTGGAAAGAGTGAGATAGGAGTCTTGATTATAGACCATTTGAAAACAAATGCATGCCATCACTTGTAAAAGATCACTAATGAAACATTTCCAAGGGGAGGCCCTGGTCAGCCTGCTTCAAACACCAAGACTCACTTGCAGATAACAGTGTCCATCTACTTAAAACAATATCCCACTGAAGAGCATGTTCTCTTAAGTAAATGTAAACCCTCTACTCTCCCAGTCTTGTTCACACTGTATATTGCTCAGAAGTCCTGTCTTCAGAGTCCAGAATAAGATAAACCATCCCAGAATGAAATAGATCAATGGAGAGGTTGAATTTGAGAGGTATCTATCTCTTCAACCCAACCCAACCCTGGA